ATTGCCTAGTGGTTGCCAGTAACAACAACCAATATATGTGAAGATATTGGAGTTACTTAAGCAAGAAGCAACTGTTCATACTTTATACCCACAAGCGGGTGGATGAGTTAACAGGAGACTTTTTCAATTTAACCAGAGGTCTTGGTTTCAAGCCCTAGGAATGTAGTTCCATTAAAACTCGTGAGGGAGAGTTTTGTCGCCCGTTGAATCCTGCCCGGCTCGAATCCAGATTAGTCGGTGGCCTAGTGGGCTTCTGAATACCAGGTAATCCAAACCAAAAAAAACTGTTCATACTTTGTTAGAGGAATTCATGAGAGAAACATATGAGATAACTAGAACACCAACATAGTAAGAGAGGAGTAGGATATGATTGATCTTGTTTAGCTTTTCAGGATTTTTGACCATGGTGTATTGTTCCCAACTTGTCAAACCCAATACAATGTTGCCTTTCTCAAAGTTTGGATGTGCGGAATCCATGTCCTCAACTACCCCATACCCCTCAAGAACCTGATAAAAAAATGTGAAGCAAAGAAAAGGAAACCTCAAACAAGACAAACAAAAGGTACCACCATGGATTATCAGATCCAAGCAGTGTCAGATTTTTCATTTGGTCTTTCCTTTTAGTGCAACTCCAAAACATGACAAAATGAAGATACAAAATCACATTTTGTACATTATATACATTGGAACCCACAATTTGAATCATATATACCATAAAAGTACATTCAATCTAAAATCAAATAGCAATAGGTGACAAAAGAGAATCATATCATGTTTTTCCTTTATTGATTTATTTGGAACTAAGGAACTTTTTGAATCAAATACTCAAACACTTGGTGAACATAAAATTCCATTATAGAGTAGAAAACTCTCATTATTGCACATAAAAGAAAAAACTCAATGTACAAAATTGGTGAACATAAAATTCCATTAAATATTATAAATAATTATTTAAAAAAATTATATAAAATGTAAATTAAATTAAATAATTTTTAAATAATCTTAACAAAATAACAAGTAATCTTTACTAACTTTCTATGGGTTACTTTTTCAACATCCCAAGGAAAGGAAATTGCAATCTACACGAGTGCAAAAGAAAAATCATCAAATTGGCATACAGTGCACAATATTAAACACGTATTTAATAATTTAAGAGAAAATAATTTAAAGATAATTTTTTATATTATTTTTTTATATAATTTTATATGTCATTTAAATAATTAAATTGTTTATTTGTTTAAGATATGTGATATTAAATATATCCATTGATTTAATAATATATAAAAATTATATAAAAAATTATATAAAAAATTATTTCTCAATCATTTTTAATATAATATTAGGTCTAAATACAATAAGTCATTCTTTTCGGTGCTTGTTCCATTGAAAAAAGTAAAAGGGGTGTTCACACGAGAATAGCTTCACAAAAAATTATTTTCTTGGAAATTCTCCCTACTAACAAAGTCATGGAAAAGGAGGTAATGTTAGATCATAGATGTCTCTTCTTCCATTCCCACTTGAATTGTTGTTTGGGTTGGTTGCATAAGAAGGTTAATGCCAATGTGAAAAGGGGA